TTAGTTGACATACTACTTATTTTCTTTTATCTTTTCTTTTTGTTTTAATCGTTTTTTCGGCGGCGGGTTGTGGGAGCTCTAGTTAGCTGACCCAGCATTAGTTAATTTCAATATTAGTTGACATTCCATTTTTTCTTTTATCTTTTTCTAAATTTTTTTTTCTAGTGGCGGGTAATCGTAGCCCTGATTAGTTTACATGCATTAGCTCAATCAGCATTAGTTAACTTCAACATTAGTTAACATTCCATTTTTTTTTCCCTTTTATCTATTTTTTTGTTTTAATTCTTTTTTTCGGCGGGTCGTCGGAATTCTGGTTAGCTGACTCAGTAATAGTTAACTTCAACATTAGTTTTATCACTTTTGTTTATTTAATTTTTTTTTTCCGTCGGTGGGTAATTTGAGTTCCGATTAGTTAACTTGCATTAGCTGACTACGTATTAGCTGATTGCAACATTAACTGACGTCCAACTTTTTTCTTTTAACTTTTTTTTCCGACAACGGGACGTCGGAGCTCTGATTAGCTGACTATGCATTAGTTGAATTCGCATTAACTGACATTCGAGTTTTTTTTTTCTTTTAACTCTTTTTTTTTTCGGCGGCGGGTATTTAATTTAGGGTTCCGATTAGCTGACACCCGATTGTTTAAGTGTTGAAGTTAGCTAATCGTAGCTCCGATTATCCGTTATGAGATAAAAAAAATGAATGTTAACTAATGTTGAAGTTAAAGAATAACGAGTCAACTAATTAACCGGAGATCAAACGACCCGCTGCCGGAGAAATAAAAAAGAATTAAAAAAAAAAGATGTCACTAATGTTAAAGGTAACTAATGTTGAGTCAGCAAACCGGAGCTCCGACTATTCATCACAGGAAGAAAATTAAAAGAAAAAAGAAAAAAAGAATGGAATGTCAACTAATGTTGAAGTTAACTAATTCTGAGACAGCTAGCCGGGGCTCCGAACCCAGGCCACCGCCGCAAACAAAAAAAATGTAAAACGTAAAAAATAAAAAAAAAATATTGGGTCGGACCGGACCTGATGCGAGGGGTGGGATGGGATGGGGGTGTGTTGAGCTTATCTCAAATAAGAATATGTAGCGATATTTTGAGAATTCATGTTTTTGTGGGTTTGTTTGAAATGAAAGTTAAAAGATTAGGCTATTTGTAGTGCAACTTGAATTTGTGGGTCTACATCGAATTTGCTCTTATTGATATAATGTTGTAATTAGGGGTGGTAATCGAGCCGAGCCGGCTCGGAAACTCGACGAGCCGGCTCGACAAAGGCTCGAACTCGAGATCGAGCCCAAATTTAGTTGTTCGACAGCTCGCGAGCTGCCTTTTTTTTTTCTTTATATAAAATTAAATGAGCCCGAGCTCGAGCTCGAGCTCGGCAACATGGACTCGAGCTCGAGCTCGAGCTGGCCAAAAGAGCCGAGCTCGGCTCTTTCCCACCCCTAGTTGTAATGTATATCATTTACTACTACACCAAGGCCCAAACCCCAAACCCCAAACCATAAGCCTAATCTCCAACTTTAATTTGCAGGCTCGACATAAATCTTAACCTTAATTTCAATTCCTGCTATCAAACCGGTTTTTGATCGGTTAGTCCGGTTGAACCGGGTCGTCTCGGTTTTGTCCGGGTTTGTGTGTTAGATTAAACCGGTCGGACCGGTACATATTGTGGCCGAAGTTTGAATACTTGCAACCAAACGCGCCCTTCAGTACTACTCTTTCCCGCCAGCCATTGAACTCATTTCCCGCCGTCATCTGCATCCTATACACCATTAAATAGTATATGCCACAACTCAAATTCAGTATTACCCAAACTGAATTCTGAAATTCTGAAAAACAAATTCTGAAATTCTTCAATTGATTCATTTCTGCAGATCCTCACTGTAACCACATACAGAGATGCCGACCGTCGCCGGACGCCGCTCATCTAGGGCTGCAGATTCAACGGCTCAGATTGGAAGTGCCGCCGCCACTCCTGTAAAATACAAATTCAGATCCGATTCAAATGATTTAATTGGATCGCCGATGCGTAAATCTCCTCGACTGTGCACCCACGCCTCTCCCAATAGTTCCCTGAAAGATAATGTGAGGTCCATTATTTTTTTATCAAGCTGACTTCAAAAGAAAGGAAAAAAAAACAATGAATCTGTTTAATTTAGTTTTTTATTTGTTGAGATTTCGTGATAGACTGAATTTCTTTCTGAATGGATTATTATGATTATTATTTTATTGATCTTTATGATTTGGATCTACAATGAATTTTTACCCTTCACGACAGGTAATCGAGAAATGCCCGAAACCCTCGATAAATTTGTTGAGTCGATTTCCACAAGAAGAAAAACCATCTGATAATTTTGTGAAAAGGCCGACTTGGGATCCAAGTGGTAAGTGTTAATTAGAAATCGGCAATTTGCGGTTTCGATCTAGTTAAAGAGTCGTGTGTTATTTATTTGGCGTTTGGTGTTAGTTTTAATGGTTGTTTGCTTGGTGGTAGATGTGGAGCAGTTGAGAACAGTTAAGGAAGCGATACATGTATCAACGGCACCAAAGACTGTCGTATGCCGCGAACACGAGCAGAATATGATATTCGAATTTTGCAAGAATTCGATCAAGCAAGAGAAGGCCGGGAGTTTGTATGTGTGTGGGTGTCCAGGTACTGGAAAATCATTGTCAATGGAAAAAGTAAAAGATATTCTCGTAAATTGGGCCAATGAGGTACTTATCTTCGATCCTATGAATTTGGTTGCACTTACGTTTCGTGAATAAATGATCACAAATTCATCTTTTTTTGTTTCCCTGGTAATCAGGAAGGTGTACAGCTTCCAGATATGTTATCCTTCAACTGTACTTCTCTTACAAACACGAGCGAGATTTTCAGCAAGGTACGATAACGCTGTAAATTTTTATGATTTCAATCCAGGAAGAGCGTGTATTTTAAACATATTGTTTCTGCAGATTCTTGGACAATATAATCCACCGAAGAAGCAGAATCGTTCTTCTACGTCATCATTGGAGCTTCTTCGTAACCTTTATTCTCAGAAGCAGCCACCTGGCACGAGGATGCTGTAAGTATCATCTTCCAAATTCCTCGTCCGTTTGGTCATGATATGGTTGCACGTCTTTATTTCTTGTCATAAATGTTTAATGTGCTTGAGTGAGAGAAGCTGTCTGCTTTCTGAATTTTATTGTTGTTATTTGTGAAAATATGTCGCAGCTTTCTTAATTACTTAATAAATGGTTATCAGGTTAGTTGTCGCTGATGAGTTGGATTATTTGATCACTAGAGATCGAGCGGTGCTTCATGATCTTTTCATGCTAACAACTTTGCCATTCTCCAAGTGTATTTTGCTTGGTATGTGAAGTGATATGTATAAGATCAATATGTTTTATTTTCATCCTGCGAGTGTTTTTAACCTTTTCGTCTCGTGTTTACAGGGGTCGCCAATGCTATTGACTTAGCTGATAGGTTTATTCCGAAACTCGAATCTTTGAATTGTGAGTGCTTGTTTTTGCATCAGGTCATTTCTATTATTTGTTAATGTAATTGTGGAACATAATTTTCAGCCTGATATAGCATCTGGTCTATGAATTTTTCTGTATAACATTCGTCCTTTTTCTCTATATCCCACCTTCAAGGATTTTTCTGTAGTGCTACAAATACCAAGTTCAATGCCATTGCTTATTCAATGAGCATTTAGCATGCATTTGTGACGTGACGATCCAATATGAAACACCAAACTCGAACCAAGATTCCTTAGATTTTGATACGATTCTCACAACAATCAATTTTGTAACCATATCTTTTTTAGGGTGTGCTTCCTTTCAGTCTTGTCTTCACCATTTCTGTCTCATCAGAAGTATTTAGTATAGTGTTCGGCATAGCTCCTCTCTTTTGCCCAATTAATATTTACAGAATCGACATAATTCTTCCAGCTTTTCTTTTTATATATATATTTACAGATTTGCTTCTTTGTTATAGGCAAACCTATGGTCATAACATTTCGTGCTTACTCCAAGGATCAAATCGTTGCTATTCTTCAAGAAAGACTGAGTGTAAGACTTTAATCTCACGTATATTGATAATCTTTTGCTTTCTTCGGATCAAGATCTATAATTTAAAAAAATGTCCATCAATCTAACTAAGACATCAAACTAAATGTAGAAGATAGACCTTGGATCATACTTGTGAAATTTACAGGCATTTACATCAGACCACCTTTTTTAATGAAGTTGATTGAAGGCATTTGTGCTCTTTTTATAACTAATGAACTTTAGACACATCCTATGTTATAAGTTTAATGCTAATGGAGTTAGTTAAAAAATAAAAAGTAAGTAAAAGATAGGAATCATAAAATGAATGCTCTAGCTTTAGCCATCTGTAAAAATAAGCATCTATCAGAGCATTTTTACGTGTCTCGATATTCCGAAATTCTTGAGTCGACAAATACCATAACCATTCTAATATCACTGCAATTTCAACAGGCACTTCCCTGTACTGTCTTCCAGCCTCAAGCAGTGGAACTCTGTGCAAGGGTGAGATGAATCACCATTTTTCAAAGAGTACAAAATTATGACTACAATTTCATAAGAATCTTTGTAGTTTCCATCTTGTTTTCACTGGTTTGACTACAATGTCAATTTTGACGTGTGTTGTTGATGTTCTGAAACGCCAAGCTTCTTTTGTTGCAGAGAGTTGCTGCTGCATCTGGAGATATGAGAAAGGCTCTTTCTGTTTGCAGGTTGATAATTTTTTAATGTTATATTTACTGTTTCACATTCGTACTATGACTATAGTTGACTTCAAGACAAATCCGTTACAGATATGCGATATATTTTCAAGTTCTTTTGGACAATGCGGACTTAATACGAAGACCGTGTAATGTGTCTGTCCAGATTGGAATATAGTTTCAAGTTATTTTCCATGTTATTGTTTCAGGAGTGCAATCGAAATGCTAGAGGCTGAGAGGAAAGATCTTATGAGTGACTCTACGTTATCGCCATTAGACATGAATGGAGATCAACAAAACCCTGCTCCCCTTGATATAACGACTAATAACATGGTAAGTATCATACGGCCATTATATATCGAACTTCCATTTTCCTTTATTAGAATGTTCAATGACATTACCGCGAAGATATTTTTCTTGATTATGCTCTTTTCTTTTATCCTTTATTTCGTTGTTATCTGGGTTATGCAGCCTGAAAACTCTTCATTTACATGAAATGACGCGTTTTTATCAACGCTTATGTGAAGTTACCCTGCACCTGTAAACCATGTGCTTTTAGAATAAGAATGCTCTTTTAATAGATGAATAAGAATATAAACTAACATACGTATTTATACGTGGTTGGGCTAATAACATTCCTACATTAACTTGCAAGGAGAGTGAATCCGTCATCCGAACGAGAAAGTACTCTTTAATTAAACCAATTATAACAGAAACAACATGTTTTTGTGAGGGAAGGAAATTCTCTTTGTATGTAACTACTGTAAATTATAGTGGACTTGGTCCCGTTGTATGTAGACACAGGCTTGTTATTTACCAAACCACGCTAATAATCGTCTTTGTTAACAATGTGCACAACAATCATTTATTTTATCTTGTTGAATTCTATTATCACTCAGTTTGAGAAATTGTTGTTACAGGTGAGAATAGATCATGTTGCAGCAGCTTTATCAAGGACCTACAAATCGTCAGTCGTCGACACTATTCAATCTCTGCCCCAACATCAGCAGGTGAGATTTACACGCAACATATCCTCGTCACATAACATGTTATTTTAGTTGAACAATTTGATGCTCAGATAATTTCGATGTATTTCCATTCTTATTTATAATTTCACCAGTTGACATGAATTAGGCTCGTCGGCAAGTCATTTTATGAATGTACTCTTTTTATTTCAGATCATACTTTGTTCTGCTGTGAAGCTTTTCCGAGGGGGAAAGAAGGATACAACCATCGGCGAGGTATGTTTTGCAACCAATTTTAGAACAAATATGTCAACTTTCTGACATTGGGATTAATGAAGGGCGGCCCGCATTCTTCTATTTCTACAGTTGAACAAAAGTTACACGGATGTATGTAAATCGGCTTCAATCCCTCCAGTTGTTATCTCCGAACTGTTAAGTATGTGTCAGGTGCTAGATGACCAGGTAAAAAATAGAAATATTACATTATTATGCATTAATACTAAATATTATAATCCGATTTCCAACGAAAGATTGCACGAACCTTATCCGTGTGACATAAAATTGCAGGGAATTCTTAAACTAGGACAAGCACGAGATGATAAACTAAAAAGAGTAACGCTAAAGATAGATGGAGCAGACATTGTTTTTGCACTGCAGGTACGCAAAAATTACACGACAATCCATTTTTTGTGTACATCTTTCTTGAGGAAGGTAATAATAGATCATGATATATGTTGTAACAGGGAGTTCGTTTCTTCCGAAACTGTCTGGAATGATTTTCCGTAAGAAGAAGAATCATGATTCTTATCTGGTTAATTCTCCGCTACAAACCAAAGTAAGGAAATAAAAGTTAGTACAGTACATTAACTTAATTTGTCTCATTGTCTTACATATGTGAATTTGTATAGGTGAAAAGAGACCACATGGAATACTTACAATGTTCGAGTCTGTGGTCGACAAAACAGTCAATACTTCTCTCTTGTAGTCATCTCAATAGTAGAGCCGAGCCAGATGCTGTGGATAATCGGACAATAAGCTCTTGCAGGAGAATGAATATGTCAACTTTCTGGCAGTGGAATACAAAAAGAAAAGGCAAACTGTATAGTTTTTCTGTCTTTAAACGGGTTGCCATTTTTATAAACGATTATCCGACATTATAATTTGTTTAATTATTTGACATTTTGTACATTATAATTGATTGATAGTGTTATGAGTCATGACTCATGAGTTGGAAGCTTAAATACTTGTTGAAGTTGAAAATTGATGAACATTATATGGAAGTGGCAATACATCATCCCTATAAATATTGTTTTATGTTGTGAAATAATTCCCATTAGCTAATGTATATAGTGCAGTATATATATAGTTAAAATATATGTATATCTAATACACTATATAATATATAATATAAATATATGTGTAGAGAGAGAGTGTGTGCGTGTGAGTGTGTGGGTAGAGAGATAGTGTGTGATGAGAGAGAGAGAGAGAGAGAGAGTAGAGAGAGAAAGTAATTTTATTAATTGTGAATATTATTACACGGTAGTATAAGAATTGGGAGAACCAATTTTCATCTCTTTCTCTCCAAAGACTACATCTATTTATATATTACAAACATGCCTACTCATCTAGACACTTGGCAAAATTATAGGTAGTGTATTACTCAAATAGTGCCACATGCCCTTATAGGTGTCCAATTGCTAAATACCCATGTGCAAGTCCACAATATTATAACATTTTATGTAATATTTTACTAATTGTAATTTAATTTCAGATGTAACTGACCGTGACCATGTAACAACTAAATTTAATTTAATTGGTAACTACTACGAGCTCATGTAGATTAATCGTATTAAAGGTCTTCATTACAATAACTAGATGGCCGTGGCTATTTCTAACACTCTAAACTCAAAAACCACGAAAACTTTATCACAAATGAACAAGACCAAATTATCATCTTCTCCATCTTTCAAAAATCACAAGAACCTTTCTCCTTCCTTCTCAATTGTTATGAACTCTTCTTCCACCAAAGCTCTCCACGAAATATTATGATAAACCTGTAAAAAAATGGATGAACTTTCAGAATAACAAATGGCGACTGTTGTATTTTCTTAAGGTTTATATAAAGATTTCTCCAAGATAAACCTAAGTTATACTAACCTAAGAATTACCATGAAATGGACAAAAGATGACCACCCCCCCCCCCCCCCCCCCCCCTTGTCCTTTTATGCTGCCAACATGTGAAGAGAGAACGAGGGCTTGTGTGTGGCACCTCCCCATGCAGATCAAGTGAGCTTGTCCCGCTGGCCGAAACGACTTTGTTCCCTGTATTCGAAATAAGGAATAAAAAACGCTGAATAAGCGTATCCACGCTTCTATAATTTGGACGATACCGTTTTATTGTCAAATTTTCAAAAATCCATTTATTCTATTACACTACTCCTTCCTTTTCTTCGAAAAATGGGAAATTTCTTCCCCATTTCTTCTGCACTCTCCCATGTAGCCTCTTCTTTGGGTAAATGAACCCAATTTACTAGCCATTGCACCATTGCAGCATTGTTCCTCTTCACCATCATTCTTTCTAAAACCTCTTATGGTACTAGAATAAGTTGGATGTGTTCATCAAAGGGTGGAATGTTGGCTGATATCTGAGCATGTCACATACTTCTTTAGTTGTGAGACATTAAACATTGGGTGTACCTTACATTCAGCACGTAAATCAAGCTGATATGCTACTGCGCCAATCTTCTTAAGGATTGCGAAGGGTCCACGATATCGTGGGGTAAGTTTCCACAAATGACTCTTCCTTAAGCTTAGTTTTTTGTATGGTAGTTTGAGGTAAAATAACTCACCCTCCTCAAGGTCTTTCATTTCTACCTTGATCTGAGTAGAACTTTATCCTAACTTGAGCTTCTCCTAGTAGCAACTTCAACTGTTGGGTAACACTTGGTGCTCTGCCATCCACACCTTGACCCCTTCTGTCTTCTTTAAGAGGTGAGGATCATATCCCATTTGTGGTGGTTGGTACCCACATAGAGCTTCAACGTGAGTTATTTCAATGGTGGAACGAAATATGTTGTTGTACCACCATTCAGCCAAAGGAATCCAAGAGCTCCACTTCTTTGGTAATTGTCCACACATGTATCTTAAATAGGATTCCAAACATTGGTTGACTCTCTCAGTCTTCCCATTAGTATGAGGGTGGAAGGCAGTAATCAATTGTTGTTGTACTCCTAAAGATTCCATCAGTTCCTTCCAGAAGTGGCTTGTGAATATATGATCTCTATCTGAGATGATTTAGTTTCGTACTCCATGTAACATGTAGATCTCTTCTATGAAAACTTAAGCTAAAGATGGAGCTGTTACATGTTGTGAGAGATCTATGAAGTGTGCATACTTAGTGAATCTATCAACTACCACCCATATACTCTCTTTCCCATGGGATTTTGGCAGCTTCACAATGAAGTCAATTGTGATGCAAGTCCAGGCATCTTCTGGAGTGGGTAAAGGTTGGATAGGTCATGGGGTAGTGATAGTTTCATGTTTGCTTAGTTGGCAAATATGGCAATTTCTAGCCCATTCCTTCACTTGACTTCTGAGTCCAGGCCCTAAAAATACCCCTTGGATTCTTTGGTAAGTGTTTTGAATTCCAGAATGTCCTCCTATGCTTGTCCTATGCATTTGCTCAATCAGATTTTTCCTTACCTTTTGCTGATTTTCCACAAATATCTTCACTTTATATTTTATGATCCTTCCATTGTACTGATAATATGACACATGCAATGGTTTTAAAGAAAAGTTAGCAATAATCTCTTGTGATTTTTCATCATTCTCATAGCTCTGTATTACTTCTTGAATCCACATTGGCTGAATAACTATCATTTGATTCAATTCCATTTCATTTTCTCTTATGGGAAGTTCATCTACTGCACTATTCTCAGCTCATTTTTTGTATTATGTGGTGTAGTTGAACCCCAAAAGTTTGGCCAATTATTTATGTTGCAGTAGTGTAGAAAGTTTTTGCTCCAACAAGTATCTCAAGCTCTTTTGATGTGTTCTTATCACAAAAGTTCCACAAACAAGGTATGCCCTCTACTTTTGTACTGCCAAGAGAATTGCTATGAACGCCTTTTCATACATGGATAATCCTAGGTTCTTATATCCTAATGCCTTACTCAAATATGCTAATGGATAGCCTTTATGCATGAGTACATCACCAATCCCATAATAGGAAGCACCAGTTTCCACCACAAATTTATCTTAAAATCTGGTAATTGCAACACTGGGTGGTGGTCATAGCTTCTTTCAACTTATCAAAATATTCTTGAGCCTTTGTGTTCCAACTAATGGAATTGACCTTTCTTGAGTTGTTGTGTCAGTGGTTTGGCTATCTCCCCATACTCTCTAAAAAAATTCCTGTAGTAACCTGTCAAGCCAAAGATTCACCTTAGAGCGTTCACATTGGTTGGACTGGGCCAATTCTTTACACTATCAATCTTGTTAGGATCAACCCCCACTCATCTTTCAGTGACGATATTCCCTAAATACTCCACTTGTTTCAGTTTAAATTGCACTTAGTCATCTTAGCATATAGTAGATTTTCTTTGAGCAACTCTAAGACTTTCCTCACATGTTGGTGATTCTCCATATCAAGACTATAAATTAGGACGTCATCAAAGAATACCAACACAAATTTCCTCAAAATGGTCCCTGAAAACATCATTGATTAAAGCTTGGAATGTGGCAGGAACATTATTAAGCCCAAAGGACATTACAAAAAATTCATAATGTCCAGATGAAGTTACAAAAGTAGTTTTTCCCACATCATCATGATTCATTCTGATGGTCAGCTCTTAGAGGAAACAGTTTAGCTCCTCCCAATCCATTCAGTAGGTCATCAATTAGAGGAATTGAATATCCATCCTTGATGGTCATGGAGTTTAACTTCCTATAATCCACACAGAATCTCCATGAACCATCCTTTTTCTTCACCAGTAGCACTGGAGATGCAAAGGGACTACTACTAGATTGGATAAAACAAGTATTTAACATTTCTTGTACCATGGCTTCTGTAGACATCAAAATTTTGAGATAAATTACTAATTAATAACCAAAATAAATCGGTTATTAATTTAGTAAAAAATTAGTAAAAAATGATGATCAATGTCGTAGGGTATAGCAGTTTATAGATTACTGTGTTACATCCGATATTTAATCTTTACCATTCATAAGTATAGAAATATACACTCACCCAAATTCATTATCATATATATATATATATATATATATATATATATATATATATATATATATATATATATATATATATATATATATATATATATATATATATATGATAATTATTTACAATATGCCAAATTTGATCCAAGTGCTAGAAAATATCTCGTTGGAGAAACCTTCAACTTATTTATGTCACGAATGATATTTTTTGGTGCTAAATGTGATCTATTTATTTGCAAAGAAAACAGTAAAAAAAAAATATTTTGCACTAATTTCACATAGGACATTCATACGTAGTTTACATTTAAGTAAATATTATGATGCGTGGTAGGGTAGATGTAGATGCAAATCACTTCGAGATAAAGTTGGCTCTTAATTAGTCAATTAGAGGGTAATCTCCGGGCTCCTGTGCCGTTCTCCCTGTGGCAGTTATAGTATGTTGCCTGTGGAATTTATAGTATGTTGCCGCTACAGGTGAATCAAGGTTATATTGCTCAGAAAACTCTCTGATATTAAAGATATGGCGCTGCTCTGGAGCAACCACAATTTGTCGACATTGTTGCTTGAAAAGCACAAAAACAAGGCGGTATATTCCCAACGTTGGTTGAGGGTCCTCATAAGTCATAATTAATCATAATGGTGCATTCATGATACACTAATTAGAAAATATATATTTCTTGTACATCTAAAATTAAAGTCATGATGAAACGATATAGTATATTGTAAAATTACTCACCGAAATTTGTATCTGTGGTTTCAGGTATATCTGTCATGATCTTGTATTTGATTTAATTTACAAACAAATTCAATAAATTATATATATTGCATATAACTTAGAACGTAACTTCCAAAAATAATGCTTGGAATTAAAGATATATGATATGTCTAATTGGGCCAGCCCAATTAGCCTACTATTTCTCTACGTACTGGGCCACGAGC